ACTGTGACTGATACTCCTTTGTCAATGGTGAGGACAGATGTGAGGGTATCAGTCACTCTGCTTCTCTACCAGTGGGGGAAGAAGGCAGCTTCATTTATGAAGGCCAAGTAGGGATGAGCTGTTTGGGGCCCAGGGAAAGCAAAAACCCTGGCAGGATTACAGCTACTAAAAATCCAAAAGCCTATTAAAATGAAAACCAGATTGATTCTTTTTCAGCTGACACAGAGGGAAAAGAGGACTCCTCCCCACTGCTCTTTAATCTGTTTGTTAATAGAAAGATTATAGCATTTGGGTGCTTGTTTACTAAAAAAAAAATCAGAATAGAAACCAAATCTGATTTGTTGTATTCCCAGAGGTAGGATCAACATTTGTCCCACACAGGCTTGGAAAGTATGGTTAGTTCTTCATTCCTATGGCTCCCACCACTCCCTTCCTTCTGATGATTATTTTGCTCTGGACTCAGGGTTTAATCACGGAATAAGCATTCTCCCATATTTAGGGCATAGTTGGAAAGGGTATGTAGGAACCAGCAACAAAATGTTGCAACATGTATCCTCAGATGTGTCCACAGTGTAGAATTAATGTAGTTTGACACCACTTCAACTGCCATGGCTCAACGCTATGGAATCATGGGAGTTGTAGTTCACTCTTCAATCAGCCACAGACTGCTGTTGTTTACTAATCTATAACTCCCATGATTCCATACCATTGAACCCTGACAATTAATTATATGGTGTAGATGCACCCAATACCTTTGAAGGGTTGCCAGAACTTAGTGCATGGCCCTGCTTCTCATGTCCCCTCAGGACAAGGAGGAAACATGTTAAAGAGTGCTGCCTTGAAAGACATATGTACCTTCCAACAATACCTTCTCAGTGTTAACTAGGGAATAATTTATCAAGCTGATGTGAGAATTCTGTGTCCCCTTTCTGTCCTTGCATGCCTCTAGAGAAGGCTTTTATTCTGCCTTGTTCGTAGACTTTTATGGGGATTTCAGATCTCTACTTTAAATTCTCCTGTGTTTCCTCACTACTTTTTCCATCTTCTGGAAACAAGAGAAAACATGGGGAGAAAAAGAATGTATATTGCTGCCCAACAGTTGTTGATTGATAGCTCTCTCAAACAATGCCCTAATTGGGCATCTCTCCTCCTTGTCCAGACACTGAAATGTATTCCTTTCACAAACATTTTGCTTTTGTATTTCCTTCCATTGACTGTTCGTGTCTCAACTTACCAACACTTTGTGCCAATAAATTGTTATTGTGGTATTGGATATGTATATTTCTCCCCTTAGGGTCATTTTCGTAAGATTTTTTCTGTCCCCGGAAATCTTGAGTCACCTGATATGTCCCTCCTGTGCATAGGTGGTATGGCATTGGATACATTCCCACTGGCATATAGCGGAATGTCATTTGATACTTGGAGAACTGCTGAGTACTGTTGTCTCAGCAGCAGCCTCTGCCAATCTTCGAACGCACAAAAAGGTTTCCAGGAAAGAAGGTGAAACTTATGGTATTCCAGATACTGTTGGATTCGAAGTCCCATCAATCCCAGCTAAGATACCAATGGTGAAAGACAATAGGAACTGCAGTCTAATGATGTTTGGAGAGCCACAGGATCCCAACCCATAGTTTAACGTTGCATCATTGTATATGCAAACATATAATGTTTTGTAAGTTGAGAGCAAAGTGGTGACATTCATTTTATAATAATAATAATAATAATAATAATAATAATAATAATAATAATAATAATGCAGTTTTCTAGCATTGTATATTTCTGTCGCTTCTGTGATTGTTCATTTGTATTTTGATTCTGTAGCCCATTTGTCGATGGATTTCCAGAATCAGCAGCATTCACCATAGTCCTTTTTATCCTGGGCGTCCACCAAGCCAGTATAGACTTCGTTTTGGTTTGTTTCTCCATAGTGCTAATGGGTTAGGTACTCTTGGTTCCACTCCTCAGTTGAGACCTCTCTGACTTGGTTAGACCTGCTGGTAGTTACACTACCGCCAGCACAGCTCTCAGCATCCTTGGAGCAGTTAAGCTCCCCACCACGACAAGGTGGTACCCATCAGCTGATGACCCAAAATGCAGACTGTGCAAGGAAGCTGATGAAACCATTGATCATATCCTCAGCTGCTGCAAGAAAATCACACAAACGGACTACAAACAGAGGCACAACTCTGTGGCACAAATGTTTCATTGGAACTTATGTCACAAGTACCACCTAACAGTAATAAAGAACTGGTGGGATCATAAACCTGCAAAGGTAGTAGAAAATGAACCCGCAAAAATACTGTGGGACTTTCAAATCCAGACTGACAAAGTTTTGGAACACAATACGCCAGACATCACGATTGTGGAAAAGAAAAAAGTCTGGATTATTGTTGTTGCCATACCAGATGACAGCCGAATTGAGGAAAAACAACAGGAAAAACTCAGCCGTTATCAGGACCTCAAAATCGAACTGCAAAGGCTCTGGCATAAACCAGTACAGGTCGTCCCAGTGGTCATTGGCGCACTGGGTGCTGTGCCAGCCGGTATTTGGAAACAATAAATATTGACAAAATCACAATCTGTCAACTGCAAAAGGCCACCTCACTTGGATCTGTGCGCCTCATTAGAAAATACATCACACAGTCCTAGACACTTGGGAAGTGTTCGACTTGTGATTTTGTGATACGAAATCCAGCATATAGATCTCATTTGCTGTGACATACTGTGTTTTTGTGTCAGTAAAATAATAATAATAATAATAATAATAATAATAATAATAATAATACTTTATTTCTATTCCACCCTATCTTCCTGAGGGGACTCAAGGCAGATTCCAGCATATACAGAGTTAAAGGCAAATATTCAATGTCTAGGAACGACGATACACAGATAAAAGTAAAGGCTTCCCCTTTCATCTGCAGCTCTGGGGATGGTGCTCATCTCCGACTCTGGGGTGGTGCTCATCTCCATTTCTAAGCCGAAGAGCCTGCATTGTTCATAGATATCTCCTAGGTCATGTGGCCGGCATGACTGCATGGAGAACTGTTTACCTTCCCACCAAGGTGGTACCTATTAATCTAGTCACATTTGCATGTTTTCGAACTGTTAGGTTGAGAGAAGCTGTGGCTAACAGTGGGAACTTTCCCCATCCCATGGAATGGAACTGCCTACTTTCCAGTCAGCAAGTTCAGCAGCTCAGCAGTTTAACTCGTTGAACCACCACGGGAATAATTTATATTCATTGTTGCATTTCTTCAAGTTAATTCTGATTCTAAAGTGAACGTAACAGTTTTCTAAGGCCAAGAATCATAGAACCATAGAGGTGGAAGAGACCTCATGGACCATCCAGTCCAACCCCCTGTCAATAAGCAGGAAAATTGCATTCATAGAATCATAGAGTTGGAAGAGATCCTGTGGGCCATCCAGTCTAACCTCCTGCCAAGAAGCAGGAAAATTGCATTCAAAGCACCCCCAACAGATGGCCATCCAGCCTCTGTTTAAAAGATTCCAAAGAAGGAGCCTCCACCACACTCCGGGGCAGAGAGTTCCATTGCTGAACAGGTCTCGCCGTTAGGAAGTTCTTTGTAAGGTTCAGGTGGAATCTCCTTTCTTGTAGTTTGAAGCCATTGTTCCGTGTCCTAGTCTTCAGGGCAGCAGAAAATAAGCTTGCTCCTTCCTCCCAATGACTTCCTCTCACATATTTATACTGCCAGAGTTATGACTCATCCAAGGTCATTCAATGGGTTTTCATGGCCGAGTGGAGAATCAAACCCTGCTCTTCAGAGTCATAGTCAAATAACTACACCACACTGGCTCTCTGCTAATGCTTAGATGGAATTATTAGGGATGAGGAGGGATAAATAAATGCATCAGTATCTCTGTGCTGGTACATCTGTACCAGGAGCTCCAACATTATTTTCTTTCTATTAAGTGTTTGCATGCATTCCAAAGTTTCAGGGATTCTGCAAAAAGGTGGCTTCCTTTGGTTTGCAGTCATAGGGCAAGCCACCTATCATTGTTAAGTTTGGATCCGCCCCTTCTCTCAGGGAGATGGGAAGGGAAGAGGGGGCCATTTTTAGTTAGTCTTAGTGAGGAAAGCTAAGTTAGAGGACGTGGACAAGCTTCACCTGCAGAAAAGCTTCCTTTTTCAAGACATTCCGGGGGAAAATTTCCAAAGCTCTGGCTGGGAGCTTGGAGCCTCTCAGCCTTACAGCATCTGAGGGAAACAGCCCTAAAGTCTTAAAGAAATTCCAGAGGGAAAACAGCTTTACAGACCCAAAGAACTCCAGCTGGAGAATCTACAAGCTTTGTCTGGTAGGTTTACTCGGTACCAAGACGCAGTTTGGAATCGGTAGTAGATCCCACACCAACAAAACTTAGATAACAGACAGCCTGGGAGAGGTTAAAAAAGGGTTTTCCTCTCAAAGTATAAGAACAATTAACGAAGACAGTTGCCTGTCCCTTGTGGACAAGATTAAGGAAGCCACCAGTTGATTTAAAGCCTTGAAGCATTTGTTTGACTCATTGAAGATTTGAGAAATATCTGTTTAATTTGTTCAATAATAAAGGACTTTGTTTAATCTTTCAAGCCATCTAAAGACCATTTCTTCAGGAAAATCCTTGAGGGCCTCTTTTGTGGCGCCCTGGCTTCCCGCTGGGCACAAGGTGCACGTCCTATTTCAAAGACAATTATTACAGGCCCAGTGCATGACAGAACAATCTCTTACAATAATGTGATTTCCTCACATTCTCAAAAGCAAGAGAGACAGTGTTATGTGTCCAATAGGTTAAACATAGCTCCTTCCAATCAAAAACGGACAAGCGTAGCACACCATTATTCTACAGTCATTTAAGATATAAGCATGCAAAGGGTTAAAAGGTTAACAATAACCACAATCATTTTTTTCTTTGTGACTATGGAAAACTGTTACCACCGCCATCAGCACTCTGTCCCAATACTCAAACCTTTCCAGTTTAGTAAAGGTTCATGTCGTATTTATTCTTAGTGTGCCTCTCTTTCAGAATCAGCCACAGCATCAACCAGCAGAGCAGAAACAACTCACAAAACCTCAGTTAGCCTCAGAGGATATTGTTGACTGTCATCTCAGGATGGCTGAACAGGATCCACAGCTTCAGGTAAGTGAGAATGAGCTTGATCTCAAGAGTGGCAGTTACCTCGTGAATTAGCCCCGAAATGACATTCAAAGATCTCCACTAGAGAAGAGTATTGGCGAGAGCTAGACCGATTCCATAAGATATTGATTGGAAGCCCCAGTCCTCCCAGTTACAAAAAAATTACTTTGAAAAAGGTGATCAGCAGCAGATATTGGTGCTAAAAGTGGCGGAGGACTCAACTTTTTGTCAGACTCCAGTGACTTTTGTATAAAAAAATAAACTGGAGATCTTTAATTGAAGATTATCTTTGTCAATTAAAAACAACAAAAACCCTCGGGTAAAAAGGAAGGGAAAGAAGATATTGAGGAGAGGTGGAGGGAAGGTAAGAAGAAAAAAGAGGGGGGAAATCCAAAATTGATCTTATTTATTTATTTATTTGCGATATTTATAGCCCACCTTTCTCAGCCATACGGCGACTCAAGGCGGGTTATAGATTGGCACAATTTGATGTCAGGCATTCATGAAAGTGCCATTAAAAACAATCAACATTACAATATAAAACACTAGCTGTACTCACCACGCATTGCTGTGGCCTACCTTTCCTCCCTCTTTCTCTCCTCCTTTCTTTCTCTTCTTCCTTCCCTCCTTCTTTCCTTCCCTTTTTTCCTTCATCCACTCCTTCCTTCCTTCTCTTCCTCTTCCCCTCCTTCCCCCTTTTCTTTCCTTTCCTCTTTCTCCCCTTTCTTCGTTCTCCACCTATTCTTGGACTGCAACTCCCAGCAGTCCTCCTGAACAATCAATCTACCTATCTATCTCTAATCTATATATCTATCTATCTGGAGGATTTTTTTGGAGTTGCAGTTCAGAAATAGGAAATTGGAAATATGCAGGGATTGGGATGCTCTCAAAGAAATCCAAGGAGAAGAATGCTTGCAGTTTGAAAGCAGTGCATTTGGACCATCCTCCTCTCCTAAAGGGCCTGGTCTAGGGGATGCTGGGAGCTGTAGTCCAGAAGATAGTGTGGATATGCTATTGTGTGTTTTGCTTGCCAGGAGAAGTTTTTGCGCATGCGCTGTAGCATCTTTTTGCTTTATTGGCTGTTAAAGTCCCTTCTAATTTTTTTAGTGTTTTTATGAGTGATGGTCACTCATTGGCCTGATAGGTGTAGACGGTGACCCCTCAGAAATGGCCGAACAACCCCCCTGGGGGTCGTGATCCCCAGGTTGAGAAACGCTGGTCTAAGCCATTAGCAGTCAGTTACAGCACAATTATATTGCTAAAATGCAGGTTTGGGACTATGAAAGAGATGCTTATGAAAGATCATGAACATTCAATTTTTAGTAGTCTCGTCAAACCAAATTTTTGGACTAAGATTAAGAACTTTTATGTCTGGATAGCTGATCTCAGGATTCTAGTTAAAAATAAAAAGTGGGTAGACTTGTAAATTAGAAGTCGGCTCACCTGTGTCTCTAGGAAACATTTGTATATATTGCATACGTGCTGAGACTGACACCACTTTTCCTGTTAAAATGTATGTGCTGTAGTTATTAAGCAATGGAGCAAAAATACTCTTTTTATATGTTCTAAAGCTTGAGGCCATGTACCAGAGTCTGCAGTCTGAGAATCTCTTACACCACATAACAAATTTTGATAATATTTCTATTCCTGGTTTGAAAGTGTTGTTTGCTGTTTAATTGTGTGGTATTTACTTTAAAAGTAGTTGTTATACTCGAGAAATTCCGTTTTAGTGGCTGCCACAAACCATGTTGAATTGGTTGAAATATTCATTGAAAAACTATAGGAAACTGCGCTGCAGGATGTCCCGCAAATAACAAAGTCTTAGCAGTTTAATAAACTTTTTCCATGTTTTTATGATAGAATCATTTATTTATTTACAGTATTTATATATCGCCTTTCTCACCCCTGGGGGGACTCAAAGCGGTTTACACATAAATAATGGCAAGATTCAATGCCTTACGTTGGGCACCGATACGATGCCAATACAAACAATACAAACAATTACAATAGTAAAACCACAATTAAACATAAATCAAAATTAAAACAATACAGGAAATTAGGAAATGACACTTATAACCCAAAAACAAAAATTGTTTTTCATAGTGTTATTCATAATGCATCCTGTTCAGGGTATCTAAGATTCGGAAAACTCCTCTTCTTGGGCATCCCAGTTACCAAACTCTCCCAGTAAACAAAACCATTGACCACACTGTTTGGAGGATTCTGGAAGCTCTATGGAAGCATGCCTATGAGAGTCTCCGTTCTAAAGAAACTGTTTCCCTAAATTTGTTATACCAATGTCTTAATCCATTCTGTAAACCAGAAATGCTTCAGTTGCACATCATATGAAAGCCACTGCTCACATTTTATTTATTTATTTACTGTATTTGTATACCACCCCCCTCAGCCCTTAGGCGACACAAGGTGTTTTTACATTTTCATTACACCTATCAGCTTGGAAATAATTAATTAATTAGTTTTGGACTTTTCACTGATTTATTTATTTATTTAAAGCATTTATATTCTGCCCTTTTCACCCCGAAGGGTAGTCATGGCGGAGCACAACATATATATGGCAAACATTCAATGCCGGAACATAAAATCTATATATATATATAAATGCTCTGTGCGTAATGAGTACCTTAAAAACAAAAGAACCAATTTGGCAACAAAACGTCTCACAACACAAGGAGTGACCATCACTCAAAAATTATTATTTTGTCATTTGGGAGTTGTAGTTGCTGGGATTTATAGTTCACCTAGAATCAAAGAGCATTCTGAACTCCACCAATGATGGAATTGAACCAAACTTGGCACACACAACTCCCATGACCAAGAGAAAACACTAGAAGGGTTTGGTGGGCATTGATTTTGAGTTTTGGAGATGTAGTTCACCTACATCTAGAGAGCACTGTGGACTCAAACAATGATGGATCTGGACCAAACTTGGCACAAATACTCAATATGCCCAAATATAAACACAGATGGAGTTTGGGGGAAATAGACCTTGACATTTGGGAGTTGTCGTTACTGGGATTTATAGTTCCCCTACAATCAAGGAGCATTCTGAACCTCACCAACGACAGAATTGGGGCAAACTTCCCGCACAGAACCCTCATGACCAACAGAAAATACTGTGTTTTCTGGTGGTCTTAGGTGACCCTTCTGACACTCCTGTGGTGAGGACCCCCCCCCCCCCTGGGGTCTTGACTTCCCAGGTTGATAAATGCTGCCAGTCCAACTCCCTTCACCAGGGCAAGAAAACATAATCAAAGCCCTCTTGACAAAGGGCCATCCAGCCATTCACACACATATATGTATATGACAGATGCAGTATCAAAGATTTGAAAGGGACCCCTAAAGAAGGGCAATGATATGTTGCCTGTTCCAGAGTGGGCAAACCAGACAATCTCCACATCAACACTGACAAAGAAACAGCAAGAAATACTGTTTACCCCACAAGCAGAAAGAAATTACATATATTAGAAACCAACACTTTCTCATTACTTTATTTTCCAGATCACCAGACTGGGCCACAGCAACGCGTGGCAGGGGACCGCTAGTACGCTATAAATATACACAAACACGAAAACTTACTTCTCACTGCAATAGGTTTTAAAAAGTTAAATTGTTTAGTAATGAGGCTCTATCAGGATCAACTACTTAAATTTACCAGTTCAAAGAAGTCAGATCTATTTATTTGTTCATTCATTCCTTCTTCCCCTGTAAAATGAACCATCAGCACTCACCATTCCTCTTGTGCAAGGAATAGGAGGTTATGACTTGTTATTTCTTTCAAGAGGTGGTGCTCAGTATTAAAATCCATTAATATTAATGAATTAATTTTTATTTTTCAATAACACTATGTAACAACGTTTTAAATTTTTTCTGCTCCTGGGTTGAAAGTGTTATTTCCTGTTTAATTGTGCGGTGCTGACTTTGAAAGTAGTTGTTATACTCCAGAAACATCGTTTTTGTGGCTACCACAAACTATGTTGAATTGGCTGAGACTCGATGCGATATTCATTGACAAACTATAGCAAAATGTGCTGCAGGATGTCCCGCAAAAAACAAGGTTTTTGCAGTTTAATAAACATTTTCTATGTTTTTATTATAGATCCAATTAGGAAATGACATTTGTAACTGAAAAACAAATATTGTGTTACATAACAGTCTCAATATGAATTAATTAACTTTTAAATGACTTTTAAATGAATTGACCCGGACTGGTCCTTGGATTGGATTTTGGATTCTGGTTTTAACAGGCGTGCTTTTAATCAATTGTTTAATTACCGTTTTTTAATATTTTAATGCATTGCTGATTGTTGATTGTTTTTATGATGTTTGGCATTCTATGATGCTTTTGTGAGGTCACCCTGAGTCCCCCCCTTGGGGGTGAGAAGGGCAGGGTAGAAATATAGGAAAATAATTAATTAATTAAATCTAATCTACTCTAGAGCAGGGCAGCTTTAACCGACACTCGCTTCTTCTGTTTCAGGAGCAGACTCCTTGGACAAATGAGTTGCCAGTAAGCACAGAGTGGGACCTGTGGTATTATGATGCCTCACCACCAACCCTGCCTGAGTTGTGTGAGAAGGAGGCCATCCGTGTTGTGGCACATATCTGTCTCCCAGTCATGGCCATCCTGTTCTGCGTGCTGGGGGTCCTGGGTAATGGGATTTTGTTGCTGGTTCGCATCCGTTACCATACCATCCAGACCATTGGTGATGCTCTTCTGTTGCACTTGGCCTTCTCCGACTTGCTGCTGCTCCTGACACTGCCCTTGGGTGTGGTTGCTATGGTGGGACGTTGGCACCTGGGCACAGCTGCATGTCAAGGTCTCCAAGGCCTCCATGCCCTCAACTTCTACAGTGGCTTCCTGTTCCTCACTGGCCTCACTCTAGACCGCTATGTAGCCATCGTGCGGGCACCCATTGCCCACCGCCTGCGCCTTGCCACCACTTGTTGGGCCAGGCTGGGCTTAGGACTGATTTGGTTGCTCTCATCTTCTCTGGCACTGCCCCACTTCCTGTATGCGCGCATGGAGGACCATGAGGGCTTTCAACTCTGCAGGGTGGCCACTGTTGCTGTTGCAATTAGCCTGGTCCAGGTGGCCTTGGGCTTTGTCCTCCCATTTGTCGTCATGGTAGTTTCCTACATGGCCATCGCCCGCACTCTCCTGTCATCTCCTTGTGCCCAATCACAGAGGGCATTGTGGTTGATATTATCCCTAGTCTTCCTCTTCCTAGCTTTGCAGCTGCCTTATGCTCTGCTCACCTTACTGGACACAGCCGATTTGATGAGCCAACAGGTTTCAAGCTGTAAAGTCATCTTCCACAGAGACCTCGCTCTCCTCATCACCAGTGGATTGGCCTTTGCCCGCTGTTGCCTGAATCCCGTGCTTCACTCCTTCCTAGGTGTACGCTTCCGTAAGGACCTCCGGCGGTTAAGCAGAGACATTGGCTGCTTGGGAGAGTGGGGGTGTTGTGGTAAAAAGCCAAGGAGAGCCAGTAGGCAAGTATCACTCACAACCCACCTGGAAGGAATATAAGGAGTATTATGAGAAGATAGGACACACCACCCACTACCTGGTAGGACATTTTGTAAAAGAAGATTTATGTACTGTAGGAAACTCCAGATACTGTGTGTTTATTGTTTATAGACATAGAACATTTTAATTTAGTACATAAAAATGTAAAATGCATATAAAAATACAAATTGGCTTAATGTGTCATTTACAGTCAACTCAGAAGCCTTCTCATTACTTCGCTTTCTCCCCCTTCCTAACATTGTAACTAATCCCCCCAATAAAAGTATCAATTAATTGTAACCTTTTCCCTCTCCATAGTATTACTTTGTATCTTTTCATTGCCTCAAACCTCTCTTTCCATGAACCTTTCTTCTCCCAGGCTGCAGATGACTGCCAGCCCTCCTGGGATGCGATTTTCGCGTCCCGGGGAGGCCGAAACTGCGTTCCCTTAAACCGCGGATATGGAACCCCCCCCCCCCGAGCCCCTGTATCCGCGTGTCAATGGATCGCTTCAAAAATTGTGTCATTCTTCTGCCGGGAGAATCTCGGTTTCGCTCCGCTGACCCCTCCGCCCCAGGAATAACCTTTTTTGTCTCTAAAACCTTGACCTGGAGCCCAGCTGTTTTTCTGGAGATGCTGCCATGTCACCACCGTTTTGTGGATGCCCAGGGAGCCTGCTGATCTTGGGCAACTGTCGCGGTCACCCCAGAGGAACCTCAAAATGTCGGTGGGCCTTGGAGAAGAGGGATCTATAGTTCACTCAGTGGATCTTGATCTCCAACTATGGCAGCCAGCTCATAAGAATGCCATGGACACTGGGACACCTTTTCCAACTTGCCCCCCTTAGACTTTCAACTTTTATCAACTTCTTTCAACTTTTAAGAACTTTAAAAACTTTTTGGAACTTTTTCCCAAACCCCATGAACTCTCCATCATGACTGGGGGACTATATGATTTCATGATATTGGACTTTTTGGACTTTAGCGGGTGGAATGGGTCCATATGAATTTCCTTTTCCCTCCATTTTTCTTTGTGTATGCCTTATAAATCCCCTATGTGTATGTTTGCATATGAAATATGGGAAGCCACCTTTCGTGACCCAAGCAAGACTCTAGTCTTGGGAAGTTCATTTCCTGAGGCAAATCCCTATTGATTTAAGGTTTCCAACAAAGACTAATTACATGACAATAGCAAGGCACTACTTGGGTTTCGGAGCAGGTCCGCCCAAGAAGGCGCCCCATGGTGAATTGGTCACCTACCAACAAAGAGACTTCCTGCCTTCAGGGAAGATCAGGATGTCCCAGCTTTCCTTCTCATTGTCATTTCCCTTGGGACTGAAACTCACACAGATAACATCAAATAATCCAATATCTGAGTCAGGAAACTATCGGGGCTTGGTGGACATGCCAGCCTTTTTCTACATACTTCAGCCTTCCAAGACAATACCTAGCCAGCATTTGGAATCTCTGATTAATGGCCGGCTATCAGGACACACATTGAGTTATTATAACCCACTCATCTGGACTCTCGATTCATGGTTTTCCCCTTGAACTGCCTCCTCCGCTCTCATTGGACAAGAGCTCGAAGTGGTGCTGGCTCTCTGATTGGCTGAGGCGCGGCTAAGCCGGCCACGCCTCCCCTCCAGCTGATGATGACAGCCAATCAGGAGAATACCAGCAAAGGGGCAGGGGGCGGGAAATTTGAACTTTGACAGCTCTGCTTTTCTATTAAAATGTACTGCAATGTTTTGAATGTATGTTTCTACTGACAAACTATCGTGGTTTGACATCCATACCAGCTGGATGAAATAAATCCAACTTGGTGACTTTTCTTCAATTTTGGTGAGATTTATTGGGAAAAATCTGGGAAAATTGTATTGGCTCTTTCCTTTGCTCATTCACATATCAAGAAAACAGGACTGCCACATTCACATTAAGTAGAAACAACTGGTCTTCTCTTGAAATATAAAACACAGTCTTCGTGTGAATAAATGTCCTGTTCTTTATTCCATATGAGTAGACTCCAGTAGTCACATGAATTGACTCCAACCTACGACCGGTTTCAACTCGCAAGAGCCTTCGTCAGGTGGTTGGGTTCAATTTATCACAAAAAGCACAACTTTTGAGGTGAGCAATTCACCTAGTGTCTTCTGGAGGGGTATATACTCGCCAGAGAATAAAACTTCTTGCAGGGTATATTGCTTAACAAAGACTAGCTGATCCACCCCTCCAGAAGACACTAGGTGAATTGCTCACCTCAAAAGCTGAGCTTTTTGTGATAAATTGAACCCAACCACCTGACGAAGGCTCTTGCGAGTCAAAACCGGTCGTAGGTTGGAGTCAATTCATGTGACTACTGGAGTCCTGTACTAGATTATTGTCTGTGTCTAAAACAATGAAGTTACAGTACTTAGTTTCAATCCATACAACTTCCTTTTGGAAAGGCATGATATTTTAGAGACCATAATCTTTTGGAGATCTAGAAATCTCCATAGCCTTTTGGAACCGTGACCCTTTTAGAGATTAATTGGCATTCACATTATTTGGAATAATCATACCCTTTTTGTAAAGTATTTTCCTGAGAAATACTCATTTGAGTGAGTCTTCTCTTTAGTGGTAAATATCCACTAGTATTTATGCAAGGCAAATTAGGCTTCTCAGTTGTTAGACTGATATACCTGGTTATCTCTCTGAACTATTAGGAACAAAGACACGCCAATGCACAAAATATATAACAGACCTTCAAAAGTGTAATTTCAGTTGCCCAAAAAACATCTCCTCTCCCATTAAATATATTGTATTTTAAATCATGCTCTCAAGAGACCAAAATAGATAGTCTTTGTTAAAAGTAACATAGTTTATTTACTTACAAATGTTGTATATTCAGCATACAGGTACATTTCTTATTGATTGACAGCTTAAACAATCTGTTCTTTAAAACATTCTGTTTTAGTCTCTTCTACAAACACAGTATTTTTATGTAACTAGCTGCCCCCCTGCCACGCGTTGCTGTGTCCCAGTCTGGTGATCTGCAATATAAAGTAAAGAGAAATTGTTGGTTTCTAATATATGTAATTTCTTTATGCTTGTGGGTAAACAGTATTTCTTGCTGTTTCTTTGTCAGTGTTGATGTGGAGATTGTCTGGTTTGCCTAATCAGGAACATGCAACATATAATTGTCCTTCTTTAGGGGTCCCTTTCAAATCTATGATATCATACCTGTCATATACATGTGTGTGTGTGTGTGTGTGTGTGTGTGAATCATATCTATCTATCTCTATGGCTGGATGGCTCTTTGTTAGGAGGGCTTTGATTATGTTTTCTTGCCCTGGTGAAGGGAGTTGGACTGGGTGGCTTTAAGGCAGCATTTCTCAACCTGGGGGTCGCGACCCCTGGGGGGGCCATGAGGGGGTGTCAGAAGGGTCACAAAGACCACCAGAAAACACAATATTTTCTGTTGGTCATGATGGGTTCAGTGTGGAAAGTTTGGCCCAATTCTATTGTCGATGGGGTTCAGAATGCTCTTTGATTGTAGGTGAACTATAAATTTCAGTAACTACTGTACAATTCCCAAATGTCAAGGTCTATTTTCCCCAAATTTCATCTGTGTTCATATTTGGGAATATGGAGTATTCGTGCCAAGTTTGCTTCAGATCCTTCATTGTTTGAGTCCACAGTGCTCTCTGGATGTAGGTAAACTACAACTCCCAAACTCAAGGTCAATGCCCACCAACCCCTTCTAGTGTTTTCTGTTGGTCATGGGAGAACTGTGTGCCAAGTTTGGTTCAGTTCCATCATTGGTGGAGTTCAGAATGCTCTTTGATTGTAGGTGAACTATAAATCCCAGCAACTACAACTCCCAAATGACAAAATCAATTTTTTTTAGTGATGATCACTCCTTGGGTTGTTAGGTGTATGCTGTCCAAATTTGGTGTCAATTCGTCCAATGGTTTTTGAGTTCTGTTAATCCCACAAACGAACATTACATTTTTATTTATATAGATACGACTAGCAATACTGCTGTAGCCTGGGATTTTTCCTGTTCCTTCCCCGTTTTTGGCTTATAGGATATGGCATATGTTGCACTGCAGTTTCCACTCTAATAAATGTGTAATAGCACATGGACAATCTTGCTTTTAGATGTCTGGGAATTGGGTCATACTAGCCAGATTGTTAATCTGGTGGCAGTGATCAAATGATTATATGCTAAAATGTGTCAATAATGCACATACAAAATAATGCATTTTGTATAGGTATTAGACATTTTTGTTGACGGTTTCGCAATGTTCTTTACAAAATTACTTCTGTCATTGGGTTTGTCTCTCTTAATTCCATAACACTATTACAGAAAGCCAGAACTTCAAATACTACATGAATTTGAAATATACATTTTACAAACTATCCTGCAGAGGGCAGCAGAGGTTAGTGTTTCTTAACACCCTCCATTTGTCCTGTTTGCTCATCTGAAAACAAAAACAAAAAGTTTATTTCATTGTTTTTGTTTTTATTAACTGCCATTATGTCGACTTTGATTGATGGCAATCCTATGATTGAGAGATCTCCAAGTCGCCCTGTCCTCAACAGTCCTGCTCAGATCTTGCACACTCAGGAATGTGGATTCTTTGACAGAGGCCCTTGCTACACTGCCACATAATCCAGATTATCAAAGCAGATAATCCACATTATTTATTTATCGTATTAGGAGCAAACCAAACAGTTCTATTGCATTTTTTAACAAAAAAACATACAAAACACAAAGTTTGCAAGCTTGGTAGTTGATTAAATGTCCTTTGACGAGTAGCTGGCCATTTGGAGTGCCTCTGGTGTTACTATTAGAAGATCCTCCAATGTGCATGTGGCAGGGCTCAGGTTGCATTGCAGCAGGTGGTCTGTAGTTTGCTCTTCTCCACACTCGCATGTCATGGATTCCACTTTGTAGCCCCATTTCCTAAGGTTGGCTCTGCATCTTGTGGTGCTGAGCGCAGTCTGTTCAGTGCCTTCCAAGTCGCCCAGTTTTCTGTGTACCCAGGAGGGAGTCTCTCATTTGGTATCAGCCATTGATTCAGGTTCTGGGTTTGAGCCTGCCACTTTTGGACTCTCACTTGCTGAGGTGTTCCAGCGAGTGTCTCTGT